TGCTGAGCCTAAAAGCAACAATGTGTTGGCACGTCCTAATCTACTACTTGTACAATGTGCATGATACCTGTACATCAAATGCACCTTTGTGTGTTATAAAGCACGTGTATCAGTATGCTTTGCACTGATAACAAGATTTACTGAATGAGCTCACAGTATCTTAAAGAAGGAATAATCTAATCCAAAAACCTGGTACAGTGTGAATCTGAGTAGGTGAAGAAAGTGCTACTTTTTGCCTTGACATTGGTGTTGGAATTAATTTTTTCTTTTTTTCTTTTTTTCTTAAATCACTAAAATGTATTTTTCATCTGTTTGCAAGGGATCTTGTACTTACAACCAAACTTAACAATACCAGTTCCTGTACCAAATGTGACTCATGTTTTACATAATGGGAGGCAGGAATATTGCAATGCCTTTTAGAGAGGGCATGGCTAAACTGAGTCAGGCCCTCACAGTGGGTAATTTAAAGGTTCTATAAACCATGAGTTCTCTGATTTCTTCATTCATTGACACAATTCAGAAAAATCTCCTCTCTCAAGCAACCACTACACTCCTTTCTTTACACCATGGAGAAAAGTGCTAGTTTTAGTCAGAATCTATGGAATATAATTCGTAAATTAGTGCTATATTCAGATGGCTGTCATAGAATTTTGATTCTTCTAGGAGGAAAAAAAGACATTTTTAGTAACAGATCTATCCAGAATTAGGCAACAATAACTATTTAAATCATTAATTGTGAGGATTTCTGAAAACCAGAAATGTCTGATTAAATTAAAAGTGCTCAGCACATCTTAACATCAGAGCCATTATCAATGTTGTGAGCAGAAGCCCATGGAGCTCAGATGAAAGTGGTTATCCTGTTTCCAGAGCAGGACCAGAGGCAGTTCCGTGACCACCACCACCCCGTTTTGCAGTGCTTTACTTGTCATTTGCTTTATGCACTGAAGATGCACAGTATCATCACGAAGAAGCGCAAGATGTGATCCACTCTAATTTCATATAAACAGTCTGCCCTACGCTTGTATTATTCGTATTTTTAAAATATTATGCAAAAATGACATAACATATGCTTCCCACTTCCAATTCATCTTCCATGGGTCCTTTTTTTTCAGGGAAACAATAAAAGAAAGAGATTCATTCTAGCATTCTTCCAGTCATTACAAACACGAGAGTAATAACACACGGTGCACACGTAGCCTGGTAATTGTTAGGTGCTAGCCATTCCCTTCTGTTCTCAGTCCACAAATCTGGTAAAGTGACATCTCTCAGTGTGGGAGTATGAATCTCCAGCTCAAGCTGCCGAGACACCTCCTTACACTATCTAGTAGCTGCACTGAGACAGTGTATTTTAGTGTGCCTCAAATCCCCAGGACGGGCTTCTGAAGTCTAGAAGTCTGAAATCGCCCTGAGCCAAAGTTTTTACAAATGTCCCCCTGGCACCCAGATTACAGGCACAGATGATCCTAAAGCTCCATTTGAAAGGTGTGGAGTCCATTCTCAGCTGATGTAAGTTGGTCCTGCTGCGCTAAAGCCAGAGAAGCCAAGGGTGATTCACACCAGCTGAGGAAGTGGCTTGAAATCATGATAACAGTCACCAGAAACTGCTTTTAAAAGCTATTCTCCACCACGATGGAAAGTATAAGGCAGACAAAGTACCAAAAGCTTTTATGTTTAGAATTTGACAAGATATTTTTTTGAAGACTAAGATGACTGTTACTCCAGAAATGAACATCAAACCATACAGTGCAATTCTGGAGCTGTCAGTTTAACATCTGTAAAGAAAAAAATCATAGTGCAGCTCTGGCAATACTTTGAAAGCACAGTTTAGTCAGTGAAAGACAATATAGATTATACAGAGAGGAAAGTGTGCTTTAACTAATGTATGAGGGCTCTGTAAGAGTTAATCTCTGTTTAGACAAGCAAAATGGAGTGGATGATATATAAAAAAAAGTATTTGATTAAGCAGCTTACGGCCAACGAGGTACACAAAAAACCTGGGTACCTTTGTGGTACATAAGGAACTGTGTATAAAATGGCTTGAGGAAGGGAACGTTATCTCAGAAAAAGAATCCTTCTAACTAAGAACATTCTAAACACCAATTAAACTGTCACCGAACTGTCTTTTGAATGTGGTCTGATTTTCTTAAGATTATATTACTATGGACTAAAGTATGACTTGGATTATCTGCCTGTGCAAATGAGGAAGAAGGATGAAAAACATCCAAATAAAATCTTTCCTTGAAAATCTGTATTGGCTGTCAGGAGATTTGGCCTGGGCACACAGGAATAGGAGAACGCACATGCTGTTGGGTTTAAAGAGCTAGCGGAGAAGGAACAAACACGCCTTTGGCTTTAATGTATCTGCCTTCTGGGACTCCCCCAACCTGTATGTTGTCCAAAGTGGCTCAGGCATAGAAAGGTAAGAGTGAAAGGTAAATTATTTGCTTCAGAAACTGGGAGGAAGCAGTGGAAGAATTTTGACTTTGAGGGGTGCTTCTGCATCAAATCTGCCAGGGTTGGGTCTGGCTGAAGAGGCTCACATAAAAATCTCTTTTCTTAGGATTGTATCCTAGGACTGTATCCTAGGACTGCTCTCCCAAGAGCAAGAGCAAAAGTCTGTCTGAGAGCTTTTCCCTGACTGAGCTTTGTTTAGCTCATTCAAGTTTCAGGGGTTTGGGAGTCCTTTTACTGTTCCTAAATCCAACTCTAAGCACCTGAATTTCTGAGTCTTCCCTTTCCTGGCTCACTGTCTTTCATGAGTGTTTTGCTTAGAGTTATTGCCTCTCTTTCCTGCCCCCCCTCCCCACCCCCCCTTTAGTTTTCTGAATCCTCCTTGGCCACAGTGTTGCATTCAGTGTCAATTATTTTAATTTACTGAACACATCAAACAAGCTCTGGTTTCACTTGGTATTTCATCTTCCTTGAGAGATTTATACCTCCAATCTCTGCTAGATCACTGAGGCAAACAATGAATTCAATTAAGAAAATTATAGGAAATGATGCTGGTTCTGTCAATAACGTCGTTTGCTACTTCTGAGAGGTTGCACTGTTTCACTCAGTGACCTCTTGTTCCATGTACTTGAAAAAACATCATTCTACTTCTTATGATCACTTGTCAATCTTCCATTCATTATGTACCTTCTGGTTTTCTTTCTAAAAAAAAAGAAAGTTTTGATATCTACAGGTGAGTTTTCTGAAGAAAGAAATTGTGAGCAGACTAAAATCCTGGACAGGATTATGTATGGCCCGGTAGGTATGCATTAACACATACCAAGAATTAACACATGCAATGTATGTGAAGGACTGCAGACATTCAATTAGTTTTGCTTTCAGTGGAAGAATTTTGTGATATACTGACATTTGGTATCCCTAGAAAACATTTGGAACGGTAAGTTAAGACAATATAAATTAAAGCTTTACAGCATTTTTATTTACATAATTGCATTTTAGATACTACCCACCATAAATTTCTGGGTTATTCTACTGTTATGGGGTTGTGACACATTTCTCTCTGCAAAAAATGCAGCAGAAAGAGTAACTATAAAAGGTGGTCATCTCTCAGTAGAACAAAAGATACTGCTTTGTGGTGCGACACTGAACAGAATTGACATCAATCAGTTTAGTTGTGTATAACATAAGCTTTCACGTTTCAGGACAAATCCATGAAACTTAGCTCTGTCTCATGCTTTTGGGGGTGTTGGGGGGCGGGCAGCCCAAGCCTTTATATATGCAGTTCTGCGCTGGCAAGTGGAGAACCAGGAAACAAACCTCTTTTGCCAAAATCTTGTATCCATATATATCTGTGTTCTGTTAGGCTATTCTTTTGAACATTTTCACAGAACAGAGATGTTTTGCAGAGGCTGAAATACAAATTCACAACAGCTGGCGTGATTCACCCAAATATATAAAGGAATACAGAAATACAGATGACCCAACCACAACTTGTGCAATCCTTCTTCTAGTTACTCTATTTAATTCAATCCGATGTATTTCTGCAGAGCAAAATCACTATTATGGTGAATAATTTCCTGATAGTGCGGGGATATTTAAATGGACTCATCTTTCTAAATGGAGGCTTCACCATCTGTTCTGCCCTTTTATTACAAATAGAGAGGGAACCCAACTCACTGCATCAGCATGTAAAGCCTATCATCGAAATGATTTAGATGTACGTGTGTGTTCTTTATGCACCTGGTATGTTTTCTCACATACCAAACACAAATCAGTGGGAAGACCTGTCTCTTGTAACCTAATAAATTCTCTGATCTAGTGCCTTTATTTCTTTTTCATGGCAGCAGGAATTGATGGCCAGTAGTTTGCATTTTATTAGGACAATTATGACCCTGTTGCTGTCCTGCAGGAGTTATATATTTATTGGGCTGGCATTTTGTGATACCATTTACCTCTCTGCAGAAAATAAGCCTTGGTTCCTATTGTCTCCCTCTTGCTGGGCCTACATACGCTTCATTGTGGAGAGAAATCTTGTAGGAGATGTGCTGAGGATGTGTTAGACTGCGGAAAATCTCTGTCCTTCCCCACCTTCCCCATAGGATGCCACACAATCTCCTTGAGACCATTTAGAGAAGGATCATATTCTCCTCAGAGTACCACAGGACAAGAAACTCCAAAATGCATCACATTGCATCGTTTTTACTGCTTTAAATGACAAATTTTGCAGTAGGTTAGGAAGGGAGGTGCACGTTACCAGTTACCACTTCTCATACCCTCTATACCAGTAGACTGATTCCGTGCTCAATGCAAATGTTACTTCAAAGAAAACCCTCAGGGCCTACCTGTGTTGTAGCCCCTCCCAAGTGCTGGCCAGGGTCGATGATTCTTCCAAAGGTTGCCCAAATACCAATCACTCTGGTTCTCCACCAAGCCAAGAACCTGCTGCCCTGGAAATGAGCAAATTGCAAACAGATCATGAGACAAAAGACGGTCAATCAATGGAAAACACACATGAAATCTGGAGAGGGACAGCCAGTGGGAACAGAAGACAGAAGTTCAGGTGCTGCCTTCGTTTCACGCGCTCGGAAGATGCCTGCCTGTGTAACAGACAGCAAGGCTGGCACAGCAAACTCAGCACGGCTCATTTCTTTCCTTCTCCCCTGGCTAGTCTGAGTAATTAAACACTGTGGGAACCTTTGTCATGCTGACAAAAATATATCACCCAGACAAATCTGAATGCTGCTTGATTTTGGAATACAATGATGGAGAATCCTCCTAGTGAGAAGTAAGCGTTGCTAAAATGATCATCTAATATGAAGATCTGTTTATACTCTGATGGAGATAATATAATTGAAGAACAGGGCTCAGTATAATAAATTATTATCTTTCCATGCCCCACCCACTAGTTTCAGGGATTGTTTTCCCAGTCACAAAGGAAATCCCTTTTGCTAAGGAAAATATTGGATTCTAAGAGTTTACCTACATAAGAAAGTTGCATTGGTTTAATTTAAGAGAGTAATTTAGAAGTCATTTAGGTAAGCTTGTGTGGAATGCTGCATAGAAATTATGATTTCAGTTTTAGATGGGCTTATTTTGGTTTAGCTTACATTGATTAGCAGCTGGCTTCAGCTAGAGTAAAACGTGTTTTAAATCAAATGTGTCTAGAAGGTTTGCACTGCTTAAAAATCAACTGAAAAGTGAATGTTTGTATAGATAAGGACTTAATTATCTATCCTGAAATGTGCTGTATAAAATGTAAATAAGAGAAGTGATTGAAATGATGCTCTGGTGATAGTGGATGGAGGGAAGGGGAAAACTGCATTTGGCTCTAGTCAAAGCAAGGAGAGGGAACGGTGTTTTGACAGAGGGACCCACTCAGTGAGGGCACTAAGACTGCGAGTGGAAATTATTTTGCAACCTTCTGAGAAAGCAATTAAGCATCATGCTCTGAAGGCACATTTTCAAATCCCAGCTATGCTCATAAAACTGGGTGCATGGTCACAGCAGTGCACTGAAAGCATTAAATGATCATTATATGTTGCTTATGTAGGAAACATAGCTGTATTACTAAAATTTCAGTATGGCCCAAAACAAGATTGGGCTGAGAAGCAAGACATAAAGACAGAAGTGATTAATTCAATTTTATAATTGGCTAGGAAGATGTTAGGATAGGTCAGGTGATCGCAATACTCTCCTGCGATATCTGTAACTCAGTGGAACATCAGTAACCCCCACAGGTGTCTTGAATGCTGTTTCAAAGAGCGAGCAGCAGTCAGTGGCCAATGTGTATAACAAATAAATCAGAACATTATGAAAGCATTCAAGGAGTGAACGGAAATCAATCTAGAAATAACCTTGAGAGATGACCAATCTACTCCACACCACTGTTCACGATCATCCTACTCTATCCTAATCACAACATGCCAGTCCCCACCAGACCTAATTTTCTAACGATGTCTCTCCTTTTCCATTATATATTATATATATAATACATATTTAATTTTTCACATTATAGTCTATAATTCATTTTTAAAGAAGGTAGAAAATCTGGAGGAGAGCAGAAAGGATCGTATAAAAGACCACCACACATTCATCACCCCACTGGTAATATTAACAGAGTGCAATGCAAAAGAGAATGAAGGAAATTACAAATTATAGGCAGATGCATCCTAAGCAACTGATGATTTGTTCACACAAATAAACTGTAGCATTTCTCAACCTGTGAGACACACGGAACACACTAGGCAGCGCATGAGGTGCCACAAGCCATATATTGTGAGGAAATGTGAAAGGGATCTCATTTGGCTGAAACGAGTCTTAGCCAAAAAAGGCTGAAGGGCACAATTTAAACAAACACTTGTTGATTCTGTGCTGGAAGACTGCCTGTTCTTTATAACCACTCCCTTACAGATGAGGTAGAATAAATCAAAATAAGAAACTACCATGGCTAGTAAAGGATGAGAAAAAAACCTAATAAAAAATGCAGGTGCAGCTGGGCTGGAATGGATTGGCACAGCTGGTAGGAAGACATTGACCCTGCCCATATTCTAACAGCGCATTTCACAACTCAGCAGTCCACAGATCCTTCTCAGGATAGTACTGCTCACATCAAAAGAAATGTTAGAATTCCATTTGCAAGAAGCAGATACTGAACTTCCTTACCATGGAGCATCAATCTGCTTTCATTATTTTAGCCCCATGCATTTCCCAACAAGCCACAGAGTTCAGCCTTCAAACTGATGAATAATAAAATATGAACAAACCTTGCTGCTTGTTAATGGTTTTCCTTTCCCACCTACCAGTCCAAAATCTCAGCTCTGACAATGTACCCCTGAAATACTTACTTCTCAGTTATTATTTCTCATGCTAAGATAAACTGAAAAGGCTCAGGAAATTATGTTCACACATTTTTATTGTAGCTGTATCATTTCCTTCCTCTTTTTCCCTTTATTTTTGAAGACACCCGAACAAATACTGCTCTCACCAGTATTCCTTGAGGTTTGCTACGGGATGATGAAGGCAGAAATTAACATCATGTAAGCTTTAGGGCTTAGATACATGGATCAGACAATGTGACTTACTGGGTATCAACTGAGCTGGAATAACTGCCTGTACGTGTCCTTTTAGCTTGTCACAAATAATACAAAAAGTAAAATGTGTTGGCTAACACGCTTTAGTGTGCTTTTGCAATGGCCTAGGAATGCGTACACCTTCATGTACTGTCCTAGGGTAGTGCATGCAACTTGTCAGGCTGTTGTAACTCTTACTCGTGTCTAAAAACCTACTAGGCAGATGTGGACAAAGTTATGAAGATATGTTTTGTATCTTCTCCAGTTATATTTCTGCTTTCACTAGCCTGCAATAGTGTTGCTGTCTATGCCAAAGAATAATATATTTTTATTTCTCTTTACGTTGTCTCTATGATCTTGACTTTGGGCAAAAGTGATCAGGAAAACAGAAGTTCAGCTGCATAGCAAATATTGATGGTTCCAAAAAATGTTTCATTCTGTCTGAATCAGTATAAAAATAGAAATTCAGAAATAATCTCTGGAAAAAATTCCCCAAATATTTTGATCTGAAGATGTCAAAATAACCACATCTAAATGTACAATCAACCTAATTTTCAATAATATCATTGTGACACATAATACAGATGCGTAACATATACCATATTATTCTATGTATCTAAAAGTTTAAACAAAATAAAATCTTCAGTTTCGCCCTTCCAATTCTGAACAATTAAAAAGGTTTCACTCAAAACTTTCGCTAAAATTTTGTTGTATTAGTGAATCATTGTGAGAATATCTGTCCAGTGTATCTGAGCATTACCAGTTATTTCATTCATTTAGTTAGTTTTTCAAATGCATTATGAAGTTATAGAAACGAAGCACTGGCCAAAGCAATGCATGCAGTCAAGCAGGCACGATGAATGCTCTCCTTGCCCACAATTCTCTGACCATCCATCAGCCCTGACCTGGCCCTTTGCCACTCTTCATGCCGTCCCTGCAAGGTGCACGCAGTTCTGCGGAAACTTTCACCAGCTTCATTTCACCTCCCATCATACTGCAATCTGAATTTAGATTTTTCTGAGGAGAAAGACTAGAGCTCCGTGCCACCATGGCCTTCTGTAAAAGGCAAGCATAAAAGAGTTATGTGAGTTATTCTTCCAGCAGATGAGAACAGGGTGGCTACCATAATGAATTTGAATTGTTCACTATTCTGAGCTGCCTGTTTCTTTTTCCTAAGAGTTATTATAATAAAATACTATCACTAGCAGCAAAAGCTCCGTCATTGTTTCCTGCTCTGGCCCTGCAGTTATGATTAAGAGCACTCCTCGCACTCTCTGTTACTCCAGGCACAAGTTAGCTTATGAAAATGAAGCTGTCTTTTTTACTTATTCATACATCACCACTAACAGCCAGACAGCAGAAAACAAGGCTATGATTCTGGCGTGACCATGGTGAAAAATTATCGAGCAGGCAGAATTACAGCTGGGTTGTCGGGAATGGTGCTGTATGCTGCCTGGCTGTGGGATGAGACTTCTCCAGAAGGCAGGTGCACAGCTACAGCATTTTGCACAGTACAGCTCCCTGACAGCTCTCGCGTGATGAGAAGTGCTTCCCTCCGTGCAAAAGCTTAGCTGTCCCTGGGAAGAGGTTTCCATGGAAAAACAGATACTTCTGAGCCTGACAACTCAATGCCTTCAATTCTGTTTTCATTTCATAGATTTTTGGTGGCTAACAGAGGGGAAAGCATGATCCTCTAATTCAGGGACTGAAGATGACTCCAGATCTCCTCTCAGCTCCTAGCTCAGATACTGATTTCTTGGGTGACACTGGACAGGTCACGTAACAGCCTCTTGCTCAATTCTCCTTTAATAAAAATGGGCATAACAATAACTTTTTATGCCTCTCCCATTTTGCCTGTCTCACATATTGCAAGTGTAAGTGCTCTGCGGTAATAACCGTGTGTTAGTTTGCACTCAAAGCGTAACACCAGCTGCATGTAGCCAGGCTGAAGCTCCATCCAGCACAGCATTGTGTCTCCAGCAACAGGGAGTAGCAGCTGTGTAGTAATGAAGCACAACAGAGCAGCTCTATAGTGGCGCTTCTTATTAGTGGTCCTCTGGCTTCCTGTGACTTGTGGCACATACATGGCACATCTAAAGAAGTATCAGCTTTTATTTATGTTCAGTCTGGTATCTGCTATTTTCATCTGGTGCCCAGTACAATCTTTATAACCTTGGTGCCTGTGAACAATATTTTTCTGTTCTGCCCTAATTTTTTTCCCAGCTTTAAAGTCTATATCTTCTCTGGAGTCTTTGGTATAAAGGACCCTAACCTCAGCTCTTGCCTTGAGGTATTTTGCTATCACAAATAATAATAACAGTAGTAAAAAATTATAGTTATTAAAACTACTTTCAACATCTTTAGTGGAAGCCTTCCCC